CAGCAGCAGCAGCAGCGAGCGGCAGATACTGTGACACGTATAACAACGCACGCGCACTGCTTTGGACTGGTGCAATCTTCTTCCCATTTCGGGGGCATTTTGCATGGTAATTGTTTGGCAGTCTCGGTATTGTCGATCAGGCGCGGGCTCTCTCTCTCTCGCGCCACTCTGGCTCCGCTTGCTCCCATTATAAAGGCGTTGATGAGGGCCTTAACGAAGACGCGTACGCAATTTGCAGCGGAGAGAGGGGCGCCCAGATGAGTGTATCGGGAGGAGGAGGAGGAGGAGGATGAGGAGGTGGGTAATTACACCTGGGATGATGAGGAATTTAGACGTCCTATTCCCCGCGTTAGCTATTGTTTTCGCGGACGGGGATATTCTGGCGCCGGCGACGATCTGATCAGCCGAGAAAGGGGTGCGGTGCGGTGTGCGCCCCCCCCCCTTCCTCCTCTGACAATCCGCCTGGTGGTGGGGTGGGGCGTGGCGTGGCGTAGCTCGAGTGCGACATTATGTTATCGACTCCACGAACGAGTCGTATAAGTTTTGATGCGCCTATCCGTCTTGACGGGCGGGCCCACCCTTGGCGTCTCTAGCTCTCTTTCTCTTTCTCTCTTTCTCTCTCTCTCTAGCTCCCCCCGAGCCCCCTGTACCGCGCCACGCCCAGCAGTGCGCAGCTGCAGCTCAGTGAATTCCCTCCCTCTGCCAAGATGGATGTGCTGAGAGATAAAATTCGCTCGCCAAATTTCCGGCACGAGCGAAACGGAACGAAAGACGGAGTGCGCGCCGCCGCTCTGGTTTGCTGCGGTGCGGCGCGGTGATGCGGCGCGGCCGAGGAGTTCACAGTAAACGGTAAAAAGGGGTCCTTGCGTATACTGCTGAATAAAACATCAATTCAATGTTGTTTTCTTTTTTGTGTCTGTGTGTGAAGGCGGGAGTGTTTAGAATAAAATTTGTAAAGCTTTTATTTATTTAGAATATAATTGAGTCTGTCTTCGTTTCGCAATCGTCGGGTTTGGCTTGTGTCGAACAGAGACGGCTGCCGCCCTGCTTCATCACAATAACGACAACCACAACCACCACCGCCACAACCACCGACGGTCCCGCCGGCGCGTAGGACCCAGAATTCAATAACAGATCCGTGTCACGTGGAACAAAAGGATAAGAGAGAGAGGAAGAGATAGAGAGACTAAAAAAAGAAGGAAAATTATCGATGGCTCCTGTCACTCCGGTCGTCAGGCCGCCTCGCTCGCCCCGTAACGGAGAGTAATAGGAAGAGGGGGGGGGGCGCACGGGCACGGCCTCCGCCACCGGCGCCTTGCGGGTGGCCCGGGTAGGCAACCGGGCGTGCTCGCGAGAGCGGCGGGCCTGCCGCCCTGTAGTTACTGTTACTGTTAAAACTAACTGGGGCTGCGTGGATTTTTTCACCCCCTCCCCCTCCTTCGCCTCTCGCTCTCTCCCTCTCTCTCTCTCCTGCTCCTCTCTCTCTCCTGCTCCCCTCTCCCTCTTTCTCCCTCTCCTAACGCTCGCTCCCCAGTGGCTATGCCATGGCCGCGGTCCTGGCGGAGGCATCAGTCGTCATACGTGTGTGTATTTCCCGCTAAAGTTTTGGACGTCTGGCCAACGTTGTATATCGAATTATGTCCGTAATTTGGTAATTGCGGACCCGTTGGCGTGTGAAAACCCCCCCAGCAGGAGCTCGGGGACGGTGTGCGAGGCGGAGAGCCTGGCAACGG